CTAACTTTCATCTCAATATTTTCAATTGAGGTTCCAACGTCAAGGCATTACAAAACCATAATCAATATTTATGAGATTCTCGTTTTCGTTTTCGAAAACTTTTTTGACAACGTAAGGAGAATGTGCCTGAGTAAATTAGGTTGTCCTATAAGTTTTTTCATTTAAACCTTCAAATTGTTATTTCTGAAAAGTAGGGCACCTACAAGGCTGCAAATTTCTGAGAGTATTTTTACCTCCTTATTTTTTCTTGATTTTTAGCCATTAGAAAAATGCAGCAAGTGTATGTAAAGATATCTCTTATGGGGAGAGTATATGGTCGAGCGAACGGGAAGTTCGCAGAATTGTTCTAAACTGAGATACAATTATTTTTGTTTTTTCGATAATTTGGAATTATTTTTCGGCTTAAAATTTGATGCGGAATAAGTTTGGTGCGAATTTCCAGAGTGATCTTGTAGAGCTTACTTTGTTCTGTCGAATGGTACCCCGTATCATACTAAGAATATAGGAAGAACCAACTTCTGTTGATGAAAAGTAGATGTGAAAGAAAAACTTATGGGACAACATGTTTGAGAATAAGTGCAGACATTCTAATTGAGCTAATAAATATTTATCCCTTTCCTTACCACAACAATTATTTTCGCAATGCTGCAATTATATTCATACTTTCGCAATCTGCGATATCGCGGTCATTCGAATATTTTTTACAAAATCTTACATGAGTTCGGGCTCGGCGAATAGCCCATTCCGACAACGGCGTCATTCTTCGGTTAATGGGTTCACTCGGAAATCTTGTTCTTGTCTCAGAAAGACTTTGGAAAAGTTTTATTCAAGATTTATTACGAGTGGCAGATGCGCGAAGTAAGAGATTGTTTGTAAGCAAGAAAATCAAAGTATGAAATCAAACATATATCGTGCCATTGTAATAAATAGTTGGACTTCATTTTCGAAAATAAACATACAAAATGCTTTGGAAGCAAAAACACTGGTATTAGCTTTCTGGATTCCGCGCACATCCAGAGTCCTTGCTCGCATAAATTTTTTCTTTTTTCATAAAATCGTGGCTGCATATCAAACTTATAGCAAGAAATGATCTAATTATGTCCCCTGCACTCAGTTCTTAGAAAACTTTCACTGACAGCGCAATCCTGCTCCGGTCGCGAATCGTGCCCTCAGGCGGGCCAATGCACGATTGCCCCATTTTCACCTGACGTTCGCTCATAATGTAATTCTTTCAAACTCTTCTTCAACTCAAATTCTTTGATTTAGAGACCCGATCATTTTGTTTTAGCAGTGGTGGAATGAATGGTGGTTAATCGCTTTTTTTCATTCATGCTAGGGTTGTGCGACTGTACAGATAGAAAAAAAGTGAGAAGTAGTGAAGGGCTCTAACAAAGTCAAAGAGAATTCGTGGAACTTCTGCCGATGGAGAACTTCATTTGAAAGTCCCTGGTTTCAGTTTGGAACACTTTGCCCAGTATACAGGTCACTCCAGTAGATATGTTTTCTTTATAACTTTTGTCAAAGTCTGGAGCAATCAGCGCGTCAATCTGCGTTTTCAAAGTAAATTCGAGCAAATTTGAAATAGATGATTGCTTCTGTACTGCACCAAAATTGACAAAGCGTTTATCCGGATAAGGCCTAAGGCATAGCTCGCACGATTCTGGTCGCTGCGCGATTAGAACACAAGAGCGACTATTGCGTACTTCGTTGTTAATGCGCTCCCTTTGGCCAAAACTTGATCCGTTTGCAACAACTTACACAAGCTACCCAAATATGCGTTTGAGAAGCGCGCACTATAGTTTGTAGAAATCTGGCAAATCGCCAAGTGGCGTGAAAGTGGCGATTTGGCTGAATCGCATGAGGTATGCCTTAGGCCTGACGTTTCGGCTCGAGTGGTCTTCCTCAGAGCCTATAGAGCAGAATATTTACCTCAAACATCTCCTCAATTGCGGGAAAAAACCTGAGAAGTCGACTATACTCCTTTCTAAGCTCAGAACACAGCTCACCTCAACCCTTTCGGACCTGACTTTTTTCTCCTAGGGAAGAAAACTTTTTTTCTCATTGATTTTTACTTATAGGCACATATTAGCACTTCAGTTAAGTTTGGAAAGTTTTTGACCATACAATAAGAAATTACAAAATGGTGGCATTTGCCACCAACAGGCTTTAGTGGAACAGCTTTCACTACACCTTTTTGACTACAGTGGAATGTTCTGAAGCGATTTCGATGTTTCCTCAATATGATGAACCGTACATTTCTCACACTGAATTCGACGTCCTTTATAAGATTCTAGTTTACATCGTTGTTCGTTACCATCGTCATGTATCGGCCAGTGTCCGACGCTGTCATATCTAACTTCACTCATAGTTTTCAATCTGGGCTTCACGCGTTTTGTTGAAACGGTAGTAGGTGCATTCATGATATTCGAAGAATTGGACACCGGTCTTCCTTGTGTTGGTTCAATCGCGATGCCACGAACTTTCCTTTTCCATCTTCTTGCTCTCTTTCGTCGCTTTCTCCAATGTCTCCGAACTCCTCGTCAACATCATCTTCGTCAATGATGGGGCCGCAGCTTCTCTCAAGGCGATTTGTTGAAATATGCCAGCTAGATTCTTGTTGAAGTTCCTTGACGATCCGTCTTTTGAATAAAAAACCTTCCATTGAAGTTCCACCAAAGCCCACTGGTGGCAAATGCGTACAGCAATTCTGAGGGTGTTAGCAAAGAGTCAACACATGTGGACTCACAAACAACTGCCAATTATTTCTTGAGCAACTTCATACTCAACGGTTACGATGGAAATATGAATAAGAATACAATGTTCCAGAAAAAATTGGCACTAACTTATCAGATTTCAAACTCGAGCGCGATTTATTTCGCACGCAAGCGCTTCTAATACTAAGCGCAGAAACGAACAAAAATTGCGGGTGGACGCGTAGATAGAAAGCAATAGGCCATCCCAAGTTACTATAACTAGGAGTGCTCGGAACATGCTGTCGCGACGATGCTACAGTCCTTCAAACTTGGTGGTGGCATTTGCCACCGCCAGGTTCCAAAGGGTTAACCGTCAAGAGTTGTTAAGGAATCAGTGATATGCTTTTGGAGTATATGAAGTAGGTCGCTCGGAGATTGGATAGGTCAGAACTTGCATAGATACAGGAACGATGCGAGTCATTTGTTAAGGCAATGCATTTGCCTTCGATCTATCTTAGGATTTCTAGATGAAATCCAGCAAACCTCGAAAATGTTTCGTGCTGACACTTTACTTTCCCTTGATAGAATGTTGAGATATCATCTTTGAGTTTTAGCGACATAACGTGCCGTGAGTGCCCAAAAGGGTTAACAAAAGTGATTTTCGTAATTCATATATGTGCTCTTTGATTCTGACGCGTAGCGTTCCCCTGGTCTGTCTATGTATTCCTCTCCACTTCTTACAGGCGTTGAGATAGATGGCTCTCAAGCAATACAATATCCACGACTGTTTGTTTCACAGATAATGCAATTCGCGGTGTTACATGCTCGATCGTGCGCTCCATTTCGCACCAAACGTTGTTTTCAAATTGGAAAGAGAATCTCTCTACGACATTTATCTGATTCTTGCACGCATGCCCAAAGATATCAGAAACAAATAAAAAGACATCCTTCTTTAGACATCATAGTTTGTTCCATGTGTTCTGTTCTAAACGCTAATTAGCTCAAATCCATGCTTATAAATTCTGAAGAAGGAGAGTGAGCCAATGTGTAATTCCCTCTAACAGATGTGGGTCCAGAAAACTTTGCAGAAGCTTAGTTAAGCTATTGTACTATATCATTTTACTCATTGAAGCAAAAATCGAATTGATTTCAGCGTCTAGAAACTCGAGGTCCTTAGTTACATCCAGGTGCATCCAGCAAATTTCTGGAAGGACTGCATTTAGAATAGGCCTGATCACTATTGTCACTACGCACGATAGAATATCGTTGATTGACAGCTACTTCTAATGAGTATGTAGACGAATAACGCAGATTTGTCTGAAGAATATTTTGAGTGAGCTAGTAGTTGTATTATTGAGCTGAATTCGGATGCTGTTTGTTGCGAAAGCATTTCCGCATAGAGAGGAGCAGCGAAAATAAAAAAGTTCATTTCGGGATTTCCACTCTCTGCAAAATCTAACACGCTTAGAATTTTTTTCAAAAAAAAAATGCGGTCGAAAAAAAAATAACAGCAGAGAAAACTATAAAAGTGATTGCATATTCTTTTTTGAACACAGGCTTTCATGCATTTTTCGATAAGTTTGCAAATGTTTGTTGAATATACATAAATCGCATCGGCAAGCAGGCGCATCCGCAGCGAAGGTCTCGCCTGGCAGGTTGATTTGTTTGCTCAAGCCAAATGTCCACCAACGCATGCTCGTCTGCAGATGTTCCCTTTCAACGGGGACACTACGATTGAGACTGTATCGCTAAATACTGGTTCATTTAAATCTACAAGCGCTCATACAACCTTCTAAGAAGTTGTTTGCAGATAATAAAAAAGGTAGAGGAACGAATACCGTTAGCATAGACTCCGCGGACTACTGGTCCTATCCTGCATGCTTTGCATATTTTATGAAGATCCAAGCTGGCCGCGCCTAAGTTCAATATTGGTTCCTCTAAATATATTGGTCCCTTGTCATTGCGCGTGCGATTGCCAAGCTGTTAGTAAATCCTCCCCTTTATCTTGTCATTTAAACTTCCAAACGAATTGTGAACCTTTCATTTTTATAGAAATCTTTTTCTGTTCACTTCGTCTATATTTGTTTCTTGGTATCAATGTCTACTTCTTTACAATGCCATGGAACAACACTAAGTGTTCGGCAGTTTGTAATCCTATGAGCATACATACATGCAACAAACTAGTTCTCGTCGATGATCGAAACGAATGGCCAACTAATCAAATCTAGTCATCGCATGTTGATTTTGCGCACGCCTTACAGAATTCGTTGATTAAACGCAATCTATTTTCTCTTTTCCATCACTACTGTCGTTTAGCGTTCCAGCTTCAAGGATTATTTTTTTGCCCTTTTTTGGGGCAGGATGAACTCAAAATTTCTGTCTCAGTAAAATTTGGAGAGTTGCTGGATCAGAGATAGCAGGCGAGGTGTATTTTATCATGAAGCCTGTAGTGATTGAAAATTCACAAAGTCACTAATAATGAGATTCTTTTTGATAAGCTCTGCAACCACATTTTGGATAATCTATGGTCCAATCATTTGTAATCCAATACTAGCTGCTTTACAGAGTCCGCAAGGTATTGTCAATGTACTATGTTAAAGATTACCATTCTTTACTTCTTTATAACATTATAGTCCTTGTTCTTTTCTGAACGCTAGTCCCTACTTCCACTATTTGCATCGGTGCAAAAGTAATGAACGTTTGTTGGTCTGCCATGACAGACAACATATAAAAACGTAAAAAAACATGTGTGCAAATTTTGGCGCTTATCGGTCCACTCAGAAAAATTTATGTTTGGAACATACTTCTCTTAGAAACGTATTCGCAAACCTTGAGTTTTATATATGTATAGATGAACGAATGCAATATCCAGGACAACAGCGCCGTCGGAATGTTTGTTTGCAAATGGTCCGGATCGGTAGTTGTCCACCGGAACATATGTACACACAGAAATACAAACACTCATTGAGCTCAAATGTAAGATGTAAATTGGCTCACTGGATTTGAGGAAAATGTTGTACTCAAGTAGTGCGGAACTGTGTTAAAAAAATATCTGTTTGCTATCACTTGCTGTACATTTATTTAACAAATACTCATACTATTAGTGCTTTGGCTAATGCATTACCGAATATTGCTAGGGCCCAGCGTACAAGTTCTGGAAGCTGCTGGACATCGTTTGTGGGAGAAAAAGCAATTAGGGTATCGTAAAACATGCTACAAAGCATATAACCCACCACTTAATGAACACAAGCTTCGGAAACGAGTTATTGCATGGAACATGACACGAGCCACTGTGATTCATAAGGCTCGCGCAATTCGAATGCAAGACTAAAATAAAAATGCATTTACAGCGCAGGAACAATCACATGACACCAAAATTGGACTGTATTATAGGACGTTATTTACAGAAGTATTATGTGTAGAGTTTTCTAAAGCTAGGTGACGTGATACCTTTTTTTAAAGTTGGTCCACCTTAGAAGGCCACTTATGAGGGAAGGATATCAAATTTTGTTGCCGACTGAGCGAGGTGTATAGCACTGAAAACTTCTTTGGACGCTGATTCTGAACCTGCTTTCCTTTTTTTGCGGAGCCACTTTCCATAAGAAGAAGTTACTGGCGTTCAAGGGTCCCAATTTGTCAAATATTGATTGAGTATCAGCGAAAAGCTATGAAACGACACCTAGCGGATTTTCCCGGTTTTCCTTTGCAATCAATATACTTATTTAAAAAATGATTTGCCACTTCGGGTGTTTTTGTACAGCTTTTTGCCTGAGTTAGTCTGCACATATTTTGTAAGCTCACGTAAGTTTTGAACTTTCTATCATGGACATTTGTCAAAGATATATCCTTGAGCATAAAACCGATCCATAACGCTGGCTCTTAATTATATAATGAACAAAATTAGTTATAATAGATACTGTTCTCCAACCTGGATCAATAGCAAATGCCGCTTAACCTTCCTTTTGCAGTATGAACTCGTGTTTTTTTGTTTTTTACTCCCCGTTTTTTTTGTTTTTTCCTCGCTGTTCTCTATTTCCCTGCCTGTGTTTGCTTATTTCGCTCATGATTATTTTGGCCGTAAGTAGGCTATTCAGTTCTACATCTGCATCTACAAAAACATCATTGTTTTGCTGTTTTCGTCGTTAGTAGAACGTGGGAGTTTTTGCATGAAAATAGGGAGAAACTTCTTTTTCAAAAGGCTGTAAACCAACTTGTGAAGGGCCTTGCGAAGGGGGAAGGGGTTGAAGGTTGCTTGTCAAGGCCTGCTATGTGAACCAAGGAACCCGGTGCTCTTTCTTGGGGAAAGCACTTACTGTTTGTGCGGCATATCGGTGGAAGTAGTAAATTGTCTTTCATTATCTTTATGTTCCTAAGAAATAATTTTGCATTCTTTGTCCAATCTTCGTCTCTCTAATTCCTTAACAACCGGATCGGTAGCCATCAATTTTAATCGTTTTTGATAAATTGTACATGTAGGCTCTGTTCTTTTCAGGTGTTCCAATCGAAAATGTTTTTAGAAAGATTTTTGACAGATCTGTGCTGGTAATCTCCACGATGGGACTGGTTTGAAAGTACAGCTCTCCTTCCTCTTTCCTCATGCCAGTTTTTTTTCTCAATCCTGAGTCTTTTGTTCGATATCCAGTTTGCATTTCAAAATAGATAAGAGGTGAGGATCTAGACTTGAGCGAATTGAAAAATCTCTATATGCATTTCAGTATTCTTTTGAAATTAGGAATAGGAGAATAAACAGAGTTTATTTTTCTAATACAGTAAAGAAAGTTTGACTGTGTCATCAAAAACTATATTCCAATCCATCTTGCTTCGTTCCTAATCTTAGACGAGATATAAGGTCTCTGAGCCTTCACCAAAACTGCCCAGTAATACTCGGTGCTCAGTGAGCTCGCGAGATCTAACTAGACTATTTTTTAATTTCTGTGTAGATCCCAACTAAGTGAATGAAGGTATTGGAGTAAATGTAAGTCAATCTACATAATGGTGACATTACGTTATTCTTTTCGATAGAATCTTTGGAATAGGTGCTAGTACATGATGCCCAATGTTTTTGTGTAAATGATAGCATTGATATCGATGAATGTTCGTGTTTGCTTAACCTTAGGTAAGTTTAATTTATAAATTACCATAAACTAGGCTCTGTTTGCACCTAGACACCTTTGAACTCATAATTCTACTTGAAATTTGACGCTTAAGGCTTGGAGACTTAGGCCTCATACCTCACGTGATTCCAGTCGCTGCGCGATTTGGTAGCGGAAAGACTGTTCATAATTGGGTAGATCGCTATGTTAACACGTTGACGATAACGCGCATTTTTAGTTGTCTGCCTTGTGGGACAATGCCTTCCACGAACGAGTCGAAAATTTCTAGCGAAAATCAAGGGGTGTATGGGTGTATGCCCTTCTGAACCGCTTCGTCCTAGCGCTAACTACTCTGCCCGGGCGGCGGTAATTATTCCGCCTTTCCTACAATCTGTCAGAGTTTTCAGATAATTCTGGGCATTCCAAAGCAAGCGAGGTACACGAATAATGACAGTGACAATGTTTGAATTATGAAGACAAAAAGTTGGAAAAGTTGCATATTTTTTTACTAGCCTTTCTTGATTTCTTCGCCCTTCCACTTTCAAAACACCATGAAGTCTGCACGTGTAAGCTGAGAATTTACATAAGCCGTCCACGTATAACTTTTTTGAGTTTCGTGGAAAACTCGAAATCTTGTTTAATTCTTTTTATCACGAGAATGCCTTTGCAGTCCAATTCAGACGTCTCTAACGACAGCGTAGCTCTCGTCTACCCAAGCGCCGCGGCAGCGCCGACCAAACAGAGGCTCGCACTAATTAGGCTGGTAATGCTAGCGGTTCAGAAGGGCCGTCTCCCAAAATCAAGCAGGTCGTCATCTTAATGATACCTACACAAATTCTTGAAAGCAGCCAAGAAACGTCAAGGTATTTCTTAGGGTTAAAGCGTAAAAGACCTCAGGAAATGGATGTATCCAGTAATTGTTATCATTTAAAAAAAATTTATGGTGACCCACCATGTGGGTCACGTTGTCGTCAATGTGTTAAGGCAGGGCTTGGTCGGTTTGCTACAAATTACAGAAGTTGCGAGTTGTTATTGGAGGACTGCGTACTATCAATTTAGAGACATCTGACAAAGTGCCAGGCCGCGTGAACATCGCGAACGGCCAAATCGCGTGGGGTATGCCTTAAGCCTTGAAGTGATGAATGTTATTTATTCGTTCTGGATGGTTCAAAATGCAAAAAATATTTCTTAGAGCATTTTTGCTATGTAGCAACACGTACTTCCCAATCGTTTCACTGTCAAAGCTTTACCACTTCTTCTTGCCAGTAAGTACTTGAAAGATTGCGACTTAGGTTGGCTTCTTTAACTCTTCTTCTTACTTCAGTATAGGAATCAATGGTGAACCATTTACGGTTTTTTCCACCGGATTCTCCTTCTCATCTATTCTTGGTTGTTGGATGGTCAGAGCTAGCTAGAAATTACTCGATCGTTCGCGGCAAGGTTGAAAACAGAAGTGCATTGATAAACCATGTTGTATGATACTTGTTTTGCTCTACATTACTGAAGCGCGCACTTTTTCTTCCAACATCTTGGACGACTAGTCCTATAGCCATACAAATATAAAGCTGAGCGTTAGTAAACTGTTAGTTAGTGTATTCTAGAAAATTTTGTGTGTAGACCGATCAGCGCCAAACTTTGCACACATATGTATTCGGCACCGGTCCACCTCGTAGGCTAGTTTTCGCAACGAAAATCCCACTCTTTCTATTTCATTAACTTTGAAGAAAAATGAACTCTTTTCAACTGATATTAGACCGCTTCCAACTTCCGTGTAAATAATAGCGCGGTAGAACTCATTTCCATTCCGCGATGAAGGAGGGCTGTGAAAGTGGTATGTCCAGTAGGTACCTGCCCTGCTTGCAGGAGTAGAAGGAAAAAGAAATGCAGATAAGACGAGCCTTTAAGTTGAGCACATTTTTGCTTTTTGTTGAGGTAGTTCAAAACACAATGCGGGCGAAGCCGGGCACGCCAGCTATTATATATTTTATACTCAGATCGTACACTTAGAGTGTATCAATAAAGATAAAGATAAAAGATTGTAATGCTTTAAAATGACAATAGACTAAGTTGACCTTGCATAATTCCCGCTGAAAGCGTTCTTATATTAGAGTGACTAGTGTCTCTTGGTCTCATAGTTCTCAACGGTCGTCAGCCTTGCCCTTGACGTGTAGCGGTTTCTTCCGCTAGAAGCTCTTGTGAACGTTTTCGGCGCGTGTTTTCTGCACCTTCCACTCTGGTTGTGTGTGATTGCGTTCGGAGCGCTGCGTCATCTCTTCGCAATTCCTGTTCTATAAAGCAGCGCTGAGAAGTGCTGACCCTCCTGATGCCTCTG